TATTACAAATAGTTTAGCATCAAAGACTTCAGATTCACAGCCTAAATTTCAGAAATCTGAGATAAAATTAATATTATCTTTAGTATAAGCAATGCCTGCATCTAATCTATTCAAATTCTCATTTTTTGAGTCATCTGAGTAAATCAGAATAGAGTCTTTTATATTGATTGTAGAGATCTTCTTTAAATGCTGTTCATATTCTCTCTCTTTAGATAGTTCACTTATTTGTAAGTCTATGAGAGATTCCAGCTTTTCTCTTCAGAGAGATATCTTCTCATGATCAATTTTCTCAACATTTAATGAAGAAAATTGATTCTTAATAAGTGAACATAGTCTATACAGTTGAGAGAGCATTTTCTTTAAAGCATTATTCTCATTTCAATCAAGAAATCTATTTCAATTCAGTTCATTTCCTGAGTTAACTGATGAAAATGAAGAAGAGACTCTTTCTCTGATTATATGATTTGAGCTCATCTTTATGACTCTCAGAGCATAGTTCATACAGGCCTTTTCAAATTGAATAGCAGGAGATGAAATTGAGGCTTCAATTTCCATTGCTTTAATAGAAGATGATTTGAATACTCTCAGAATTCTTCTCAAAGCTCTGTTTTATAGACTTTGAAACAGTTCAGTGAAGTTATCTTGATTGTTTCATCAAACTTGAACTTCATAATCAACTACTGAGGTAATACAGGCTATGTATAACTGTTTCATAGCCTGAAAAGATAGACCTCTCTCAGTATTTGATAGTCTGATTATACTATTCAGTAGTCTCTCTGCCTTGATGATTCTTTGTTGAATATGATATTTAAAATTCAACTTGAAGTTTAACCATACTCCTAGCCATTTGACATTCAAACTGGGTTTAATCTCTTTATTCAGAAGAGTTAGACTTAGTTCTTTCTTATTAAATCTAGGAAAAAAGTGAATTAACTCAGTTTTATTCATATCAAATTGAATTAGATTGACATCTGCTCTAACAAAGACTTCCTTTACTACTTTCTCAATCACTTTTAAATTCTCTTTGATTGTCTTTGAACTGTAGAGTAGATCAATATCATCTACATAACTTGAAGATCTCACTATTTTCATCTCTCTATTCTTGAATAAATATGCAGTGTATATTGCAAATAAAACAGGTGAGATTGGAGATTCTTGTGTGATTTCTCTGACTATGTAATAGAAGAAGTGATATTATAATATAATGATGAAGATATTCTACAATTATATATCTTTATATCTAAGAAACTGAGTTCTGCTGAATGTAATTATGAGATCTATGATAAGAAACTTCTTATAATTGTATACTGTTTAGAAGAATGAGACTCTGAACTCTGAAGTATCTCTGAATTTGAGATAGTTATAGATTATAAGAATTTCAAATACTTCACAATTATCTATAAACTTACTGAATGATAGATGTAATAATCTGAGTTCTTAAGTTACTTTCATTTTACAATACACTACTGTTCTGATAGTCAGAACTTGATAATAGATACTCTCTCATAATAAGAGCAGAATATATTATCTGATATAACAGATACTTACTGAATGAACTGAGAGCATCAGCTCTTGAATCTGAAGATACTAGTTAATCAAGATAAAACAGCTCACAGCACTATACATGCTTCTCTGATTAGAACTATCACTGATATCTCAACTTCTTCTGAATCTACATTAGATGAGCTATAGTATACAGCAGCTCAAACTGATAAACTTCTTCAAGCACTTACTGAAGCAGTATAACAAGAAGCATTCTAATTTCTCTCAGAATTATATATAAGAACTGACATCTCAGAATATTTAATCAATAATAATAACACTCTACAATTTCATAAATAACACTGAGTCTCTCACTCTGAACTCTTACACACTCAGATAATACAAGAGATGCATAATTTATATATAACTGATTATTCAGACTATGAATAACTGTATAGAATAATCTTCTGAGAGTTCTATTAATCTGAGATATTAAATAGTATCAGATACTTCATTTAAAACTGTAACTACTGTTCTTTCATTATCTTATAAAAGAACTGTAGAAAAGATCTACTGAAATCACTTAATATTTCTGATAGAATCTGATGAGATATAGTGATTAACTTTACTATCAATCTATCTGAGAGTAAGAGTTATAGAAATATTCTGATCATTGTGAATCAATTGAGTAAAGATATAATATTAAAATCTTGTAATAAGATAAATACTGAATAAGTCACTGAAGCTTTTCTACAGAGCTCATTCTATTAAATACATGAATTACTTAGATTCATAGTATTAAATCAGAGCTGTCAATTCATGAGTACTCTTTGAACTAGAATCTGTTAAGTTCTTAAGATTACACACTGTCTATTAACTATCTATCACTCTGAGACTGATAATGCATCAGAACAGATAATTCAGACTGTAAAGAATTATCTTTATAAGTTCTATAATCACTTATAAAATGATTGATATAATCTTCTTCTATATACAGAGATTGCTATCAACAGTTGAGATGTTATTTTAACAGATATAAGTCTGTTCTTTCTTATATATGAATATTATATGAAAGTGTTGAATCTTCTAAAGATTACACAGTTCACACTGAACTCTTACAGTCTGATTCAGATTACTGATAATATAATAATGAAACTCTGAGATATCTGTGATTGAGTAGAGATCTTCATAATAACTGTGAAACAAGATTAAGAGAATTAAATTAATGTTCACTGAGACTCTACTGAATAATATAAGATAGAAGATCTGATATGATTGAATCTTAAGAATATATAAATCACATATTTATTTTATACACTAGATTACTGTCATATCAGATATAAAGTGATAGAAGTTCTAGATAGTTATAACTACTGTCTTGATATATTATCAGAGATTTATAATATATTCTATACAAGCTTACTTCACTGTGCTATCACTGATCTGTTCTCTTCTCAGCTGACTTCTGACTGACAGTCATCAGACATCATAGAAGAAGATAATGAGCTTGAGTGAGAGATTGAGAATATTCTTGATAAGAGACTTCACAGCTGCAGCTGATAATATCTTGTGAAATAAGTTGACTATAATCAACTGATTTGAACTCTGAGTTCTGTGTTATCTGAAACAACAGTTCTTGACTGATAAGAACTGCTTCTGAAAGAGAGAGGTTCATATAACAGGCTGCGCCTGATCAATTATATAGACTATTTCATTATACTTCATAGATTCTTTCATTCTCAATCACTGATTCTCAGCTGCTATGAACATGTGTAATATATGCTCTGATTCTCAGCTATTTCTGATCACTGATTCTCAGCTGCTATGAATGCATGTATATTCTTCTGCTCTGAAGCTTCACTGCATACATCATTATATACATGTATAAATATTCATCTTAATCACTGATTCTTACACTTTCTCTTTCTTTTCTTCTTTAACATTTTTATCTTTGTTATATAAGATCTATCAATATTATACTAATCTATTCAGTGTAGGCCTCTTACATGAACAGTCTATTGAAATAGATATATTATCTGAGATTAAGTTTTATCACTATGAGATTCATAGTTCTGATACATCTTTATTAACAGCAGTCTGTAAAAAGAAAACTGTTATTCAAAGAGCTTACTATATTATCAGATATTATAGAGAATATCTCTTATTAACTTTATTCTTAACTTAATTAAGAAAATAGCTGCAGTTATTATCTTTGATAATTAATTTATCTCTTAGTTCTATAGATCTCTCTTCAGTCTTTTATCAATTATCTGTATTATTATTCAACTTATTCTCAAGTCAATCTTATTTTACTTTACAGATATGCTTTTACTATAGTTACAGTTCTATCTCTTCTATTAATAAGCTGTAATATCAATCTTGCAGAGTCTTCTGTTTTGAGCTTAGCTCTGCAATGTCTTTGTATACAGAGACTTGTGTGTATTAAGATATTTTATTATTCATCATGTAATGTACGGTGTACAGGTATGTATACAGAAAACTTGACCTTGCTAAGTACGTCACTTAATCTTGTTATATAATCATAACTCTGATCTCATACAATACAGTAATAATCAGTTGATAATTAACTTTCAATCTTTCAATTTACTTATTCATTTATTCATTCAGCTTATCAATTAATTAAAGCATGTATAGCTGATTCATAATCAATTAAATAAACAGATAAATTCATATAGAATATAAAGAGATGTTTTACAGAATTTTAAAATATATTAAGATAAAAATATTTAATAATTAATTTTAAATTGATTTTAAATTAATTTTAAATTGATGTTGAATTAATTATTAATTAATTATAGTAATAAATATAGATTCAATCTATATATTTAAGTAATTAATAATTGATTGAAAATCAGTTAATAATCAATTCAGTGTAAATTATATAAATACTTACTTTATTATTAAATTCAAGAATAATTTCAGTATTAAATTGATTTTAAATTAATTTTAAATTGATTTTAAATTAATTCTGAATTAATTATTAATTAATTATAGTAATAAAAATAAATTCAATCTGTATATTTAAGTAATTAATAATTGATTGAAAATCAGTTGATAATCAATTTAGTGTAAATTTTATAAATACTTACTTTATTATTAAATTCAAGAATAATATCAGTATTAAATTAATTATTAATAAAATTAGTAAAGTCTTCTTTATATATAAAAGTTATAATGAGAGAAGAATTGTTTTACAATCAATTAAGAATTGATTTTGAATTGATTGTAGAATTGATGGTAAATAATTGAGTGGTTTCAAATTACAAGAAAAGATGTATTGAGCGAGGTCAGGTAGTGGCACGGGCCACATTTGCGAGGTCAGCTTATATAACGAGGTCAAGTGGCGCACTTAGCGAGGTCAAGTTTTCTGCTTCCTGTGTAGTTACGGGTTCACATTTTAAATACTCATACCGGCAGTAGATAGGTGACGCTATTCTCGGTCAGCTCCGCTAGAAACACGGCAACTCACCAGGTACTATATATATTCCTGACTTCCAATGGACCTCATTCCCGCCATCAGACAGTCATTGTCTGTATGCAGACCATCCCTCCGAGCTCCGACCCATCATCCCATATACGTCGTCCCACGCCTACTAGCCCAACACCAACACCACCAACAAGCACGTCGCAACATTTCCACGACCTCAGATACGTCACGGAACGTACATTCAAGCAATGGCGGCCATGCTGAAACGACAACAAGCAGCGGTAGCCACCGGCCCAAAAGACGTATGGTCCTCACCCAAAAACAGCGGGACTTCCTCGACAGCGCCCTCAGAGTAAACCAAGCTGGTGAACTGGCTGCGACCCTCATCTACGCCGCCCAAACACCCCCAGTCACCCGCTCCCACCCCCATCTCCGCCCTCTAATGAAACACATGTATGACCAGGAAGCTGGCCATTTGACCACCTTCAACGACCTCGTCGCCAAACACCGTGTGCGCCCTACAGCGATGTATCCTATCTGGGAAGTCGCCGCGACAACACTGGGCTGGGCGACGGGAATAATGGGCCGGGAAGCAGCAATGGCATGTACAGAAGCCGTTGAGACAGAAATCGGCACGCATTATAATGACCAGGTGCGGGAAATTCTGGGATGGTTTGAAGATGCGCGGGAACGCGGGGAAGAGCCGGATGAGGAATTGGTGGAGCTTGTGGACACGCTGAGACGGATCCGGGATGAAGAGTTGGAGCATTTAGATCATGCTGTGGAGAACGATGCGAAGGACGCCAGGCCGTATGATCCGCTTGTTAATGTTATTCGGTTGGGCTGCAGGGCTGCGATTCAAATTAGCCAGCGGGTCTAAGAAGTTGACATCTATATGGACGTGTCGGTTTGGGATATAAACTCATGTCCGAGTTCTGTCCTTTCATCGTACCCTTGCATCCTAGGAGACTATATGCCGGCATCTCGACGCCAGCGATTTCCTTTTTCGACTTCGTGGTCGACCACGGAAATTACCAAGCCGTTTTTGGCTATTAATCTGTAAAGTATGCATCTGGGATCCAGGTACATTTCAACGAATTTCCACACATCAGGACAACTTACCGCAGACCAGCCGACCCTCGCCCGCCGCAGTGATTGCGAGAACCACCGGTATGACGGCGTGCTACATACCCTCTAACTATTCTTGACACTCCACATGACACGGCGCTTATATTATTTCCTGTAACATATTATTTTTCTCTTGTATCATATAATCTAACGAAACCCATTATATCCCTTCTATTCCGTTGCGTGTTGCAAGGGTATTTTTGCACATCCTTCTTTCCTTAGCTCCGTTCAACATGTATTGATTATATGTGTTTAGAATCTACAAGTCCCTATACTGAATAAATAGATCACATGAGCCGCATTGGTTACTGCCGTATTGTGGCGGACATATTACTTGTGAAAACAGAATTTTCCCAGCCCCCTCTGAAAATTAGTAGCAAAACACCACCAAAAAATCAAAATATCTGCATTTCTCTAGAATCATTCAATATCATTCAATATGCATCTTTTTCAATCAAATATCATTCAAATACATGTCTTTCTTACCTTTATCATCAAATTCATATATATCAATCAAATCTTTTTTCAATATGCCTTGCAATGCCTGTCATCCTGCTGCTTTACAAGCCTGTACAAAGACTTCTACTCTGCATCTCAGTCTTCTTAAACTATCTGTTTCAGAAGTTTCAGATAATGGAGAGAATCTGATCAATGATGAGATGAAGAAGCAGATAAATGAGAAGAATATAGAGACTCAGTCTGAGAATTCTATATCTGTGAATCTCTACTTCTGAACCTGATATCTTATATAGATTGTATAAACAGGTGATTATCAATGAGATAAAGAAAAAGAGAGATGACAAAATGATTAATAAGTAGAAAGAAGAAGAAGAATTAGAAGAATAAATCTATAATTTCTACAATTAATTCTTCTATACAGATCTCTTAAATGTCAGTGATTATATTTTCTTCTTTAGCTCTGACAGCTTCAACTTCATTCAATATAACATTCTCAAGTGAGATAATCAATGTAATGATAATGAAATATATAATGAAAGAAATAGAAGAACTGAATTCATAATCTTATTATTATTCATATTCAGATCTGCTGTTAAATCTTTTATTAAATTCACTGTTAAATCTTTCATTGAATACACTGTTGAAATCTTTCATTAAATACACTGTTGAAATCTTTCATTGAATTCACTGTTAAAATCTTTCATCAAATTCGCTATTGAAATCTTTCATTAAATTCATCATTAAATCTTTTATTGAATTCACTGTTGAAATCTTTCATTAAATTCTATAACATGATGAAACTGAAGTAGTGGCTAGTCAGCAGTGTCATGTAGAAGTAGTTATTTAAGAAGCTGTATAAGTAAGCTTAACTATCTTGCTTAAATAGTGAGCTTGTAGACTACAGAATTATTGCAAGAATATCACAGATATGATACTTAGTATACTAAGAAGATTGTATGAGATACATAGTAACTCTTGTATATATTTCAGTAGAAGAAAAAATAAATCACTGACTTCTTTGATAAGAAGTCAGTATCTAGTTATTCTATATAGATAATGAGTGAATACTCTTCTCTTATTTTATGAGTAAGAATAGCTGAAGTGATATCTTAGCAGCATCTTATTACTAAGAAAGAGTAATCTGCTGATCTTATATAGAAGTAAGATTCTTATATTTATCAATCAGATCTTTCTATAATATATCTGAATAATGTCATAGAGTGATTGAAAACCAGTTCAGACAGAATGAAATTATTCACATAAAAATAATAAGTTATATGAAATTATAATGAGATCTTGACATAGCTAAGAGTGTGATAATACTCTTCTCTTTAAGAGTATAGTCTCTATACTCTTAAAATTACTGAATTAGAAATTATCTTTATTATATAGTAATGATTATTAACTGATTGACAGTGTATGTGCTGTATATAATATAAAGAAATAGATGAGTTTTTCTACTGACTGTGTAGATCTTTCTTTACTCATTTTCATTTAAATTAAATATATAATAAGTAGGTTTCTTATATATTGATTTGAGATGAGAAAAATGTAGTTAATAAGTGACTTATAGATCTCTTATTATATTTTATTCTATATATAAAATTCTCTGTAAAAGTGATGTATTTTAGAGATAAAGTTAACAGTAGTGATAGAATTTTTTAAAAAGATTTTTCTCTCTATGAAACATTTTTCTTTCCTCTTCTTCAATTATAATAGTGAGTGTATGAGAGTATCATTCTTGAAGAATAATAAAGAGCTTATTCTGATGTTTTCTAGTGAATAATAAATGTCTTTGTGATGCAGCTGCAGTCTCTATGACTATTAAGAAAGCCAGATTGAAGACAGAGACAGTGATGTCAATGAGCTGCAGAAGCACTGCTCTCATTGTCATATCTTCTTCTTCTTCTGCATCTCTTACAGCTGCAGCAGTAGTAGCTGTACCTTGCAGTGAGATGTTATCTCTTCTGCTAACTGATTCATCTGTGTCTGATCTATTCTCTACTTCTCTCATCATCATTGTGATGCTGCCTCTTTTCTCAATCAACATAATGATGTATGACTCTGTGTGATCATTTGAAGAGGACTCTGAAGAGAGCTTAATTCTGGGAATAGCAGCTCTGAGAAGCTCAATTCATAGTTTCTCTTCTGTAACATATCTGAGCCCTGCTCAGAATACTGCTGAGTTGAGTCTGCAGAATCTCACAGTTTCTTTATCTTCTCTCTATGAGAAGGCTTCAGTGCAGTCTCTGATCAGCACTACTACTTGTCTGTGCTATGTTAAGCAGCTGAAGAAGAGAGAGATCTTATACATCTATCTCTTCTCTCACTTCTGTTATTTCTGTTATATCTGTAATAACAACTTCTATCTCTCTGTAAGTATTATCTACTCTACAAGAAGATGTTATATTGACTCTGACAAGAAGCTCAGATACTCAAGCAGTACAGAGTGAGAATCTCAGAGCTTCAAGTATTAACAGATTCTGTCAAGACTGAGAAGATTCTTCTTACTTATTTATAAAAGAAGATGAAAGCATGAGTCTCTGAGATGAAAAAATATCTCAGAATGACTGATCTTAAGAAGAAGTCAGTTAATACTGCTGTTGAAAGTATCATAGAGATCAATTACTGATTGAAGAGAATCTTATTTCAGTTAAAGCAGATAACTGAGATATTTTATAAGTTAATAAGTTAATACTTTCAGTATCTCTTATACTTTTCTATAGTATACTTCTCTGCAGTACTACAGTGCTAATTTCTTAACAGATAAAGATACTAATATCAGATACTTCAACAGTGAAGAATGAGTTTAATAAGAATATAATTATTAATAAGTAGACTCTAATCTCTCTTTTTACTTTTTCAGCAGGCTGCAGCTCTATTAGAATAGTAGTAACTTATGAATTAATAATATTAATCTTTGTTAATTTCAAATATCTCTTTCTTTTCTTATTAACTGCTTCAGGAATTTTACACTTATATAGTCTTATTAAACTTCTAAAAAATTCTTTGAAAGAAAATAGAAGAAGAGTGCTACAGAGTTTACAAGATACTGATTTATCACTGTAAAATTATCTCTAAAAAACTCTTTAAGAAAAATAAGAAGTCTTAAGCAGCATTTCTTACTTAATATCTCTGATATATAATAGAGTGATCTCTACTAGTTATCTTATAGCTTACAATCTCTTTCTCAGTATTTTTCAAATATTTAAGCAGTTCTTATAAATTCTCTGATAATAAATAATCTTCTTATTTAATAAGATATTGAAGCTTGCTATAATATATTTATTTATTTAATATTTTCTTCATAAGATATTCAGTATTATTCTTAATCTTAATATTATCTGATCAAGACAGTTTCATCTTGAGATATTACTTATAGAGCTTTAAATAGAAAATGTGAAAAATAGAATGAATTGATTTCAATTCTGTGAGTAATTTTAACTTATATATCTACTTATTCATCACTCTTATTACTGAGAAAGATTCTAGTCATTACTTACTGAACTTCTTATATAGTCTCATTATCTTGATATTCTTTACTGAAAGTAGTACTTGATTCTCTATTAAGAACTTCATTGAAAGATATTTTCAATTATAGTATTTTATCTACTACTTCTGAATATAATGAATACTTTTCACTGTCTTCTTATAAATTTTATTTAAAAGTTTCAATCTCACTTTTACTTCTAATACTGAGAAATACTCTGTTCTCTGTATTTATTCAATATTTTAACTGTCTATTTCTTTCTTTAAAATATTATCTGTGATATCACTGAGTAATGAAGAATTATGTTTATAATAAGTATAGAAAGAAGATATTTTTAAGATTATATTCTTTATATTGTTATATATAAATTCAGTAATTAGAAGATGTTTAAGTCAATCATTCTGATAATATAAACAGAATACTTAAAAATGCTATTCTAGTATCTGATTCTAATATTCAGTCTGATTATCTGTCTGCAGATGAAATACAGTACTGAGAAGATATCTTATTATAAGATAATAGTAAAAAGCTGATTAGTATTTACTGATGAAGAGAAATTCTTAATCTATTATTAATAATTTTGAAGCACTGTGATTATAAATGATGATATCTAAAAATAGATTAGTTAATTCAGAGACTTTAATCTTTTTATAAGTAGAGATATATCTGATTATCTTTGTAAAGTGATTAATAATAACTAAAATTAAGTCATATTCTTTAACTCTTGTTGACTTCAGTAGATTAACTATGAAATTCATTGATAGATTCTGCTATAAGCTTTTTAAAATAGACAGTGATATTAA